ATTTATTCGAAAGTTGAAGCGGAATTTAAAAATAAATTTTATATATTACAAAAATACATCAAAAATTCTACGAAATGAAAAGTGACATGACTAATTTTTATATCAAACGAGTCAGAAAAATAAGAAAAAAAAGTGAATAAAGTCTGATCTGATTAATAATAAATATACAATTTAGTTTAGGTAGGATAGAGGGAGTACAATATTTGAGTCTTTTTCCCTCAAGGAGCTTATTTATAAAATACGGAGTACTCCGTATTTCTTGAACATAAGAAGACTACGAAAAAATAATTTCGAATAAAAAGTTATTATTGAAAAATCCTATGTTGTTTATAAAAAATTAATAGGTCATTTAAAAAATTATTTTACTTTTTTTATACATTTAAAATAGTTATAATTTTGAATTCGTAATTTAGATCCTTTCAAAAGAGACATACCTCTCAACCTATCTCTCTAATATAATTTTGTAACGCATTTTGGATTTTTTTTTCTCTTTTAATTAACTCTACTTAAGATTTGAGAGAGAACATTTACGTAACCTTTTTCACTAAATAATGAAAAAAAAGAAACAGAACAAATAAAAAAGTGAAAGTCCAATTAGTAATGGACCATTAGGTATTTTGTTGAAACCCCAAGGACCCAGCCCGTTGTCCTCCCACTGTAGAAAGGGATCTCTCTAATATAATTTTGTAACGCATTTTGGATTATTTTCTCTACTTAAGATTTGAGAGAGAACATTTACGTAACTTTTTTCACTAAATAATGAAAAAAAAGAAACAGAACAAATAAAAAAGTGAAAGTCCAATTAGTAATGGACCATTAGGTATTTTGTTGAAACCCCAAGGACCCAGCCCGTTGTCCTCCCACTGTAGAAAGGGATCTCTCTAATATAATTTTGTAACGCATTTTGGATTATTTTCTCTACTTAAGATTTGAGAGCGAACATTTACGTAACCTTTTTCACTAAATAATGAAAAAAAAGAAACAGAACAAATAAAAAAGTGAAATTCCAATTAGTAATGGACCATTAAGTATTTTTGTTGGTACCCCCAAGGACCCAGCCTGACGTAGTACCCTCCACTCTAAGTGGTCATTAAATTTCGCCCAAACTCAATGACCCACTTCCCACTTGGATCGGGCAGGCTGATTAAAGGCATCAGAGTCCAACACCTAATGGCCCATTACCATGTCCAATCACTCAGCCCCCACTTGGGTTACAGGCTCAAGTTACTGAACACGGCGATCGTATGAGCCGATTTAGGAACTTATAAACTGATAAATTTCATCATACTTATTCGGTGTGGGCAAGAATGAGATATGATGAGGGTACAAAAAAACCTCTACCAAATCCTCAAAGTAAGCATTATCTCATTCTTCCATGCTCCAAAATCACAATAACTTTTATTTATTTGAGACTTTTTATTGATTATTTAATAAAATATTTTATTACTATTTATTTTGTAGAATTTTTAATGTTTATATTTATACATCAATTTTTAAATACAATGAAAAAAATTAATATTTTAAGTGAAGATAATTATGAGAGTATCACATTCAGTTCAAATTCGACAAAAATAGAAGATTTCAAGAAATGGGCATTTACTCAAATTATGTGAACAAAAAAAAGATTTCAAACATCAAACTAAAACCATGTGAACAAAAGGAAAGATTACATTTTTGCCCTTGGGCTGGTGGGCAAACTCAAAACAAAAACCAAAACAACTGCACACAAACAGAGTGTCCCTTGATCACCCATGGCTTCTTAGTCCTCCATCACATCATCATCCTCTTCTTCCAATTCCTCAATCTTCATCTTCTTAACTGTGCGAGCAGCTTCGCTCGTTGTGCTGTTGTTATTAGGGACTTGGATGAGTACATCAGATTTCTGGCCAGTTTTGGCGTTCACCAGACCTCCATTCTTCTCCACCCGATACGAGAGCGCTTTTGCGTTAGGACCAGCAGCGTCTATGAAAACAGTTGAGTTCTCATCAATCTCCTCCTTCACCAGCATCTTCGACAGTTCGGTCACCACCTTCTTCTCCAACCATCTGCGAATCGGCCTTGCACCATACACCGGGTCATAGCTTTCTGCCAGCACAACATCCAAAGCAGCCTCACTGACCCCCAAAGCGATCCCCCTCTCAGCAAGGCGCACGGCTACATCCTTCAGCTGCAGTCGGCATACCTTCCTCAGTTGCTCATGAGACAGAGGATCAAACACTACAATCTCATCCAGCCGGTTCAGCAACTCTGGCTTGAAGTGCTTCTTCACTGCCTGCATCACCATCTCACGGGCGCTCTCCATTGGGCACTTCCCAAGGAGGCCATTCAGTAGATACTCTGCTCCGATGTTTGAAGTCATGATGATTACAGTGTTGGTGAAATCGACAGTTCGGCCTTGCCCATCGGTCAGCCTTCCATCATCTAGGACTTGGAGTAGGGTGTTGAAAACACTGGTATGGGCCTTTTCGACTTCATCGAGTAGCACAACACTGTAAGGTCTTCTCCTAACTGCTTCTGTCAGCTGGCCACCTTCTTCATGCCCAACGTACCCGGGTGGGGCTCCAATGAGTCTGGCAACAGAGTGTTGTTCCATGTACTCAGACATGTCGATCCGAACCATTAGCTTGTCGTCATCAAACAGTTGCTCCGCAAGGGCTTTCGCAAGCTCAGTCTTGCCAACACCAGTTGGACCCAAGAAGAGGAAAGAACCGGTCGGCTGTTGTGGCCTTCCCAGTCCTGCTCGGGACCTCAGAACTGCCTCTGCAACTGCATTCACGGCTTGGTCCTGTCCCACAACTCTTTGGTGCAATCTGGCTGCAAGCCCAATCAACCTCTCTTTCTGATCTTGGCCTAGCCTGGTGACCGGTATTCCTGTCCACCGGCTCACAACCTCAGCAATCTGATCTGGCCCTACTGTCTCCGTTAGCATTGCATCACCCTCACTCGACCCACTGCTCTCAAGCCTGGCAATTGCAGATTCCACCTCCTGAATTGCACCGTATCTCAGATCAGCTGCTCTGGCGAGGTCATATCTCCTCTCAGCTTCTTGCAAGGCATACATGAGTTCGTCACGCTTCTGTTTCAGCCTCCGGAGCTCATCAATCCTCTCCTTTTCCTTAATGTATTTCATCATGAGAGGCTGGAGCTTGTCCCTCAGGTCATCAAGCTCCTCCCTCACCTCAACAAGCCGAGCTTTGCTGGCTTTATCTTTTTCCTTTTCAAGGGCATGAAGTTCCACTTCCAACTGAATCCTCTTCCTCTCAAGATTGTCGATTTCTTCAGGTTGACTGTCAAGCTGAACTCTCACATTGGCACAAGCCTCATCAACTAAGTCAATTGCCTTATCGGGCAGATGCCGTCCTGTGATGTACCTAGCAGAGAGCTGGGCTGCAACCACAAGTGCCCTGTCCTGGATTTTGACACCGTGATGCCCTTCGTACTTCTCCTTCAACCCTCTCAGGATGCTGATGGTGTCAGGAACGCTGGGCTCAGAAACATAAACCTGCTGGAACCGCCTCTCAAACGCAGCATCTTTCTCCACATACTTTCTGTACTCCTCAAGAGTTGTTGCGCCAATGCACCTTAATTGGCCTCTTGCAAGCATTGGCTTAAAGAGATTGGCAGCATCCATTGATCCCTCTGCACGGCCAGCACCCAAGACCAGATGAATCTCATCTATGAAGAGAATCACTTTCCCTTCTGCTTCTTCTACTTCCTTCAACACGGCTTTCAATCTTTCCTCAAATTCACCCCTGTACTTGGCTCCTGCAACCAGTGCCCCCATGTCCAGAGCAATAAGCCTAACATCAGAAAGATTGCTTGGAACATCTCCTTTAACAACTCTTTGTGCTAATCCCTCAACAACAGCAGTTTTTCCAACACCAGGCTCTCCAATTAGAACCGGATTGTTCTTCGTCCTCCTTGAAAGGATCCGAACAACCCTTCGGATTTCTTCATCCCTACCAATCACGGGATCCAGTTTCCCAGCTTGCTCCACCAAATCGCGGCCATATGTTTTGAGTGCTTGGAATGTGGTATCTCCGGAAGCACTTTCCACCTTCCTCCCTTCCTTTCCCCTAAGCTTCTCAACCTCTGACTTAACCCTAGCCGAACTAATTCCACCTTCCTTCAAAAGGTCTCCGATCTGCGAATCCTCCAACAACCCTAAAATCAGCTTATCCACAGCCAGATGCGAGTCCTGGTGCGCCTTCTGAAGCGCCTGCGCCCTCCTAATCGCCTTAATCAGCGAAGTGCTTGCAGGAATTTCGTCCGGAGACGGGGTCTGCGAGGGGAGTTTCTTCATCGCTGCATTGAAAACCCTCTCAACAGATCTGGCCGTCTCTTCGCTGCCACTGGCATTGACAATGGCTTGAAACAAAATCCCGTCGTGCTGTGAAAGCAAGGCGGCGGCGACGTGCAGCGGCGTAAATTGGGCGTGACCGGCGTTCATGGCCAGCCCGTGTGCCTCGGCGAGGGCCTCATTGGTCTTGTTGGTAAACTTGTCTGGGTTCATTCTTCGAGCACACAGAACTTACGATGAACGAAGATGTCGAATTTTGAGAGCTTAATCTGAAATTTCTCGGAAATCTTGTTTGGTGAATTGAGGAGGAGAATGAAGAACAGATCGTTTATAATGAGGGAGAAGAGAAGTCTGGAGCGGCGAAGCACAAGGTAGAACTTACTAGAGTTTAGAACTTACTAGAGTTTTCTTGGAATTGAGAGATGCGCTCTTTTCTCTTTTTTCAGGAGTGCTAGGGTACACCATTTGTACACCACTCACTTCTCCACCATCCTTTTTTATTTTATTTTTATTTATTTTTTTTAATTTCTTGTCCTTTTTGTGTGGACAAGGAGAGGGTAGGGGACAAATGGGATACACATTTGGTGTATCCCTAATTTTTCTTTCTCTTTTTCCCTAGAGAGCACCAATTTTAGAAGCTTCCGGATTTGACTAGGAGGCTAGGAGCTTCAATATGCAGTCCATATCCTACTTTCGAGTTTGGAAATATAAATAAATAAAATATACTCCTTCCATAAATAAATTTTTCATCCACTATTCACAGGGTCAAACTTTATTCACTTTATTGGTCTATTTTCGTCACCCATTTGTTAAAACAATAAAATTATGTCACCTCTAGTTTTGTAGATCTTTTGATATAATTTTTTAATATGAAATTTTTATTTAAATTTACACCATTTTTCATATAAAATGATTTAAAAATAACTTCAGTCAAACATCGTAACGCGCAATAAGAAATTTATTTGTGTACGGATGGAGTATTTGTTCACCTTTACTTTTTTAGTAGACTTTTAACTTTTTGTAATTAGCTTTTTTTTCAAGGGAATTAATTAGAATTGATCCAATTCAAACAAAAAATTAAAAACAAAAAAAATCAAATTAAAAAAAACATTGGGACTAGACATGATCAAACTGCGTACCGGCCAGATTTTGTGTTGGATTGAAACGCTACAATATGAGAATTTTCTAGGCTCGAGCCCAACTCAGCCCGTATAACATGCATAATAATTGAAGCCCGAGCCTGGCCTACATGGATACCCGCAGGCTCTGAGTTTGCCCGATCCCACGAGGCAACAACTTCTAAATAAGCAATGTTTGATACCGAGTAAATAACACGGAGTAATAAAGAAATACTCATTTTATTAAATATACTTCTAATTTCTTTGTTTTCTCCATAAAAATATGTGTGTTTATAATAATTTAAAATAATATTGTTGTTACTATTATTAATATTGATGTTGTTGCTATTGTTATTTTATGACAATTCTAACAATAATAAATTTTAGAGTAATATTCATTTGGGTCGAGACAGATCGAGGGCTTGAGCATAAAACTTGAACCCGACTCTAAAATACACGGACCGCCATTTAAAAGCCTGAGTCCGGCTCGTACCATAAAATGTTAAGTCCAAACTCGTAGTTTGGCGGGCGAGCTTTTACGGACGTGTCAGGTACCCAATTCTATGATCAGGTCTAATTAGATCAGAAAGAGTATGTCTTCATGTGCCGACAATAATTCTATGCTTGGCAATAGGGTGCGGCTCCCCTTCTCTATTCGAGAAAACTTAATTCTAGTGCTTGGTTGTAACACCCCAATTCGTATAACCCAGAATTATAGGAATTAAGGTGAAACAGGAGCAATATTTTTAAAATTTTTCCAAATCATTAAATAAAATTCATAAAACAAAACTTCAAAATACAACATACTACCTCCGTCCCTGAGTATTTGTCCAGTTTTGACTTTTTTCGGTCAACTGTTTTCAACATTTGACCTATAATTAAATAAAGTATATATTGTATATTAATTAGATAAAATAATACTTTAAAAATATTTGATATAATAAATCTAATAAAACTATTTTTGTATCAATATCTAATTTCATTTTTATTTAACTTGAGGTCAAAATTTATCAATTTTGACCGAAAAAAGTCAAAAGTGGACAAATATGCAGGGACGGAGGGAGTACTAAACTCGGATCAATCCTTTACAAAATGTCAGAGATAGTAAAAGACTTAAATAATACGAATACAATGATGTGGGTCTAGCCCAAAACTTCAAATGCAATACTTGTGAAAATCATGCATGTCAACCTGCCATCCTATCGTCTCTTTGTCGTCCGGGTGGTCCACATACTCTATGCTTCAACCTACGTGTAAACAAAAAGACTACATGCTCAGCATAAAGTCGAGTGGTACAATAACGCGAGAGATCGATAACATATTTATACTTAAATATTATGCATCACATTGACCACATAATTTTCATGGTTGCATAGTAGATAGAACAAGATATAAGTTACATGTATACATATCAAGGAGATTCATTTTGGAAAGTTATCCAGTTATTAATACTTTGGCCTTGTCGTTAACGATGTTGGATATAAAATGCAATATGTTTTGCACAAATCTGAGTCGCTCATATTCATAAATATAATCAAGATGTTTGTTCATGATGATGGAACAATATGAATGGCATGATGCATAAGTTAGACTATGCAGGGACTCCTGCGATCCAATGTCATTCCACGAGGGAAATGATTCGGGCAAACCTTAGTCTCATACGAGACTAGAAATAATGGGTGGTAACCGAAACCTAGTTACCATGTACGTAGACAAGCCCTCCGAATGAAAACCCGTAGGACCCGAAGGCCCCTGGACAGGCTCGCTATAAGAGGCGCACTAGGCATAGCCTCTTAAGCGTATATGCCATGATATGAATGATTTCTATATCATGCGTCTACAACATGCGTGACATATGACCTCAAAGACTTTATTTTTTGAAAACTAAGTCTTGGCTTCTAATCCATATACCAACATTTCAAATATTAGTTTTTACTTTGGGAACACTTCGATTTTGGACCTTGGTTTCAAGCTTGATTTTCCGTAGTTGGGTTTTTGACTAGCTGATAGTCGATTATCAAGTATTGATAATCGATTATCAAGCTTGTCAGCTTTTGAACTCAAAGTTCAGAAATACCTGATAATCGATTATCACTTGGTGATAATCGATTATCAAGCATGGGCGGCTTTTGCTCAAAGTTCAGCAGCGCCTTATAGTCAATTATCACTTGGTGAAAATCGAATATCAAGGCTTTTGCTGCCAAACTCAGGAGATTCAGAAAGGTTAGATAGTTGATTATCAGAACTTGATAATCGATTATCACGGTACTCGGGTTCCGTTCTCGTCTGTCTAATTACGTTTAACCTTTTGAACATTATAATGAACATTGAAAATTACAAATATATCGATATATGTATTACCTATTCATTCCAACATATTTCTAGGTGATTTCTTTTTTAAAGAGTTTCATACTGCATATTTTTATAGCGAGAAAAATTACGAGCATACGGATTCAACGTAGGTTATGCCAAGTAGTTGAGCATATATAATAACAAATACACATACGTTCGTACACGTAAAACACATATGTTTGGGCATGAATTTACGTGTTCATGAAATCGTCTAAATGTAGACTAGGTATTTCCCAACTTGTACATTCATATGTCAAATTTATACACCTAAACGTATCAAGTGATGTTATTACGATATCCATTGGTATTCCCTCAAGTCTAACCATATTCTTCATAATCTAACCATTCTACTACTTTTATTTCAAAATCTTTATTTCAAAATCCTTAATGGTATTCCTTCAAGCCTTTTACTCGTCCGATTGACGAACCGTTTGATGTAATTAGAATAAGTTCTGATCTAGTGTGATATGATGTGATTGTAATTAAATTAAATTTAAAGATATTTTTAATTAGATTTGGTCTAGTCTAATACAATTCTAATAAGAATAAGTAATAATTAATAACAATTATAATAATAAGTTAAAGAGAACATGGCCTTAGTAACCACCTCAATGGGAGTCCTCAAGCATGTGACACACTATAAATCCTCTAATTCCCGCCTCCTGAGAATCAATTTTTCGAACATACCAAATGGATCCAATTTTAAAATAATTTATCTTAGATCATGTTCTCCTCAATTTATTCTTATTACTTATTACTTTTTCTTATTTAAATCAGATTAGAAAATGTTTTTAAATATAACTACAACCAGATCAAGAGTTATTCTAATTAGATCAGAGATAATCAGATAAGTGAAGAGAACATGGTCTTATTAAATAATAAAGGTTTTACTCCTATATATATAAAATACAACGAGATTTAATCAAAAGATCTACAAAATTAGAGGTGACATGATTACATTATTTAATCAAACCGACGATAAAAATAAGCCAACAAAGTGAATAAAATTCGACCCTATAAATAGTGAAGGAGAATATAATTTTTGGAGGGAGGAAGTATTAAATATAGGATCGAAATTAAAAAATAAAAATTAAAAACAAAATAAAATGAATAGTAAAGAGGGGTGGTGTACATTTGGGGTACACCTTTAGTGTACCCCTAACATATCCCATTCCACTAACTATCTCTTCATAATTGAGTTCGATGCGTGCATGACCTTGACTCACCTTGGAAAGATGTTTCCACTACTCTTTTTTCCACTTTTATTTGATGTCGATTTTAAACATATACACCCTTCGTCCTGGAGTATTCGTCCACTTTTGACTTTTGAAACTGTTCATCTAAGTACTTTGACTCATCAAATTCTCTCAATGTGTAAGCCTAAATATAGTCATGTGTAATCTATCTTGTTTGATTTGTCTTAACATATAGATTATTAATATATAATTTCTATAATTTTTTAATATACAAATTACAAAATAAAAAGGATTAAAGAAGTGTATTGGATGATGTGTAAAAATGAAAGTGGACAAATACTCTGGGACGGAGGTAGTACTTCTTAGTAACTTTTATTATTTATTTTATAGTAACTTTCATATAAAAACTAATTAAAGATAAATTCGGTCAAACATCGTAGCGTAGAAGAATATTTTATGAACGAATGGAGTACGTACTTGTAATAAATAAATTTAGAGCAAAGGAAGATCACAGACGGCAGCAGTCTAGAGCAAACACCGACAGCGACCTTCAAAACTCTAGCCACTGACGATACCTAAGGTGACGAGGTTGAAGATGATGGATTTGAGCTTTAAGTATTTCTTTCATGAAATATGAAATGAGTATTAAGTATTTCATATTTAAGTATTTAAGTTTTTCTTTCATGAAATATGAAATGAGCTTTAAGTATTTCTTTCTACTTCTCCTTAACTCCTTTGCCCCCATCCCAACAGCCTCCTCTCTAAAATCACCTGTCGGCTACAGTGCTCATTTATATTTAATCAAAAAAGATGCCTGACGCTCTTTTGAACTTATTGGTCGAGATAGCTTACTTCCCCAGAGTTCTTCCTTCGTTTAGAGTTGGCACCTTGAGTTTCCACTTGGTGATTGAATTTATCAACTAATAAATATGCTCTCACAGAGAATTGGCCAATCTTTCTTACTCAAATGGCACTGGCTGCCAAAGGAATGAATGAAACAAATGCTTAACACATGCCCGTCGAAGACGCTCTGTACTAACTAAAAAATCTAAAAAGAAATAAAAAGAAAGAGGTTTGTTTAAGGAAAAAGTATCAAAGCTTCTTCATCTATCACAGGATAGGGACGCACACAATTTTAGAGAGGAGGACTAAGGGATGGGAGGATTTTGGAACAGTGGAAACCATCAATTTTTTGAACAAAACAATTGTCAAAATATGACAACATGTTTTGTTGTTAAAAGACGTCAGCCTCTAAACATTTACGTTTTGCATTATCTTAGTTATTTTGACAACAAATCATAATGTCATATTATGACAATAGCTCAAATCGACGATTATTGGTTATTGATGGTCCTAACCCCCATAAACCTTCAAGTCCCCCAGATCGCCCATTTGGCAGCCAATTTTGGCTAGGGGGTACGGTAGGTTACAGGGGGGAGATTTAAGGATTGTAGGAATTATCAATTTTACAAATAAAGCTCCGTAGGTGCTCCAATTAGAGTTGTCATATTATGGCAACAAAATCTGTTGTCAAAAGAAGCAAGCCGATTTTACGTATAGAGGACCCCTAGGAGATGCTCTAACTCTTAATTCGCTTTATATCCCATTCCAAACAGGAGTAACCCTAAAACAAGCTATGGAAGAATGCTTTAAACCAGCGACCAGAATATGAGATGCTGTTTAACAGTGCAACGGGCGAAATACAACTCAGACCCATACTATGTTCACACAAGTGATAACCAAAGGTGTCACACCCCGTTCTTATTTATTTACAGATGGGGAATCTTTGGGGAAAAAAAACTGAAAGGGATACCTGGAAAAAAAGCTAAAAGCCAACTCTCACTCATGTAGCCTCTGCAAATGGGACGTGCAGCTTCGTTACAGAGCTCTTGAGAAAACTACTTCCGCATAGCCTATCTGGGCTGTCGATATCCAAATCCACAGTACTAGGAGGACGTTCACGTGAAGAAATGGCTATGGCGTGGTGATCATCAAATGGATAAAAACCTCTTTCGGAGCTCCCGGCATACTTCCGACCTTGCTTCTTCTCTTTCCCCTTGTTGGCCCGTGACGACTTCCCAAGGCTCTTATGTTTATTCTTCTTCCCATTCTTCTTGCCATCGCTCTTGTGGCGTTGAGGTTTGTTTGTTGGCACATGAGACACTGATGTTGGGACTGGATCATACACATCAGGTGCCCATTTCACACGGAGTTTCTTGGGGGGTATTTTCCCTTGCTTCTCACGGCTACCCTTCATAGCAGATACCAGCTTCGTGGGACTCTGTCACAGGGAGAAACAAAAAAGAAGTCATAAATGTAAAAGGAGTACTTGTTATACATATGATATCTGGAACTGGATAGTCTCCATTTCTACAAACAACACAAGACCATTGGAACAGTTGTCAATTGTTTTGTGCTCCAGTGTCAAATAACATACTCAGAATCTCAAACAAGGAAAGTAATTTGGAGGTGAAAAGATAAATAAGATAAGAAGAGAGTGAAAATTTAATTTATGTGTTTCACTCTCACCGTGTTTAAGTGTTGATAAGTGAAACAAATGTGGTTGGAATTAGTTAAAGAAGAGAGATTTTCTGAGCCACATATCCTTTTCCTCAAAAGGAAAGCAAAGTTTTAATGGGATGGTTGAAAAAGTGAAGATTTTTGCGGGAAGGAGAGAACTGATTTATACTAGCAAATGCACAACAAAAACCAACAACAAACCTAGTATACTCATTGGGTCTGTGGAGTCCAATTGTACGCAACCTTACAACAACAACAAATTCCCATAAGTGACGTATATACGCAACCTTACCCTTGTGTATAAAACAGAGAGATTGTTTCTGTTAGACCCTTAATGCATTACTTCAATTATTGCCCAAAAAATTACATAAAGTAAGAAGCCAAAAAAGTTTAATGTGCCATTTTGATTTAGTCCTTTATATACCTGGAGCTGAACTCTTATAGCTCATTTAACACAGACACAATGATGAATGCCAACAATCAATAGCAACATAATTATCAACAACAACCCTGACGAATCCCACAAAAGTAGGGTCTGGGAAGGGGATGTGTGTACGCAGACCTTAACCCTACTCAAAAGTAGAGAGGATGTTTCCAAAGAGACCCCCGGTTCAAGCACCATAAGTAATCACGTATGCAGCCTGACCCCTATGTTTCAAATATAGAGTGACTATTTACGGATGACCCATGATGAGCATCAAAAGTTGCATTGACTAACTGCTACTTCACTATTAAAAAACACACACAGTTCAAAGAGCCATTTTAATTTATTCCATCGTACCCCAAAGCAAAAAAATAGTGAATCTCTGGCTCCATCGGATATGATGGGACATCATAATTATCAGCAATGGCATAAATAAATAACACTGTATTTAGAAGCATATGTTTTTACTACTTCACCTAAAGAAACTCCATGTGAAATGGCCACATGTCTAGTGACACCTCATCAGGTTACATGCCTGATAAGTGAACAGTACTCTTCCAAACACCACCGATCACACATTCACCCACACTGTACCATCCCAACACAAATCATATATGAGCAGATAATTAGATGTTCAAAACACAGCATACTGACCATTTCTACTTAGGAACATGACATGGATTGAATTCGACAGTGTCAAAGTCTACAAAGATATTTATAGGTATCCATGCAACTAACAAAGTTGCAATTATTCCTTAATCCGTGTAAGAGGTATGGATTGGGATATAAACATTACACATCATGCACAAGGACATCAAGAACTTACTAGCAAAGATTTAGAGTGCATAGAAAGCTGAGCAGAATTTGCATCACCATTAGGAACCACAGGCTCAGCAGTTACATCACTCATTCCCTGCTTTTCTCTTTGATGAATTGACACATCAGGAGATGTGCACTTAGTGAAGTTGGGAAATGTTGCAGACTTGACAAGGCATTTTTTTGAAGCCAAACTGCCTGTGCGACTGTCAGGGGTACTTTCCAACCCATCATCTTTTGAGAACTTTGAAGCAGTTGTATTCTGCAGCTGTTGATCCTCCTGAATAATGACTAGATCACTCAAATTGTCCCTGATATCATCCACACCAAAGTCTAGAGCAATATTGTCTTCACAACAAGGAAGACTCCCAGGCAACAGACCAGAGTGCCTTACATTTTTAGAAGCTGACTTATTGCAACATGCACAAATGTCCATCAATTAGAAAGAGTGCTAGGTGGATCTGCAAAAACAAAAAAATGAATTATTTAGATAATGTAATTACCTAAATAATAACTTCACTCCACGACCACCAAGCATGTTTCATTACCCAGCTCATTTTCATTTACCTGTTTTGATTAATTATTTCAAAGCAATGCACAACCATGTAAGCATTCTTACTACTTAAACTACTTATTACTCCCCACGTCCCTAAATAAACTTCATTTTCACTACTCACACTGTCAAACTGTATCTTCTTTCTTTACTTATTTACGTTAATAGTTTGTTTGAAGAAAATAATATATCTCACCCCCTTTTATAAAACTTTTGATGCAATTTTTAAATGTATAAATTTTATTTTTAAATTATGTACTAAATTACTAATATTCAAATATATAGAATTGAAAAAAACTTCATCCAAGCTTCATTAACTGTAAACTGAAGTTTATTTAGGGAAAGGGAGAATTAGTAAACATTAAACAACTCCCGCAAACAGTAAATAATACATCACCTCTGACCCCGTTATCATTGTTTTATTTATTCAATCTTATTTAAAGATTGTTATGAAAATATTAGGTATGGAGTATTCCTTTATTCAATAGTAACACGATATTCAATCTTATCTATAGTGAACAATGAAGCTTGGTGAGGTGTGAGCAACAACAAACCAAATGATTAGACTAAAATGAGTTGCCGACAAATCTTTTTTGTTAGATTTTGCACATCTATATGTGCATGCACAAATAACTTGCATATTACAATTATCCAAGCTTCACCATTAAGCAAGATTTGTAGCATATTCTGATGATACCACATAATGAGAGTCCAACGGTAATCTGTCAAACTAAATGCTGCCAAAGTAAATGCTTACATCTAGCTTGGCAAACAACTACAACTATGGACGAATTCTAGAAATGAAAGGCACCAAATATATGCATTATTTATGGCATGCAATAAAAAGCAAGCAGATGCATAAAGAGTTGTTAACAAAAAATACCCAATACTTGTAAATGACAAATATGCTCAAGTGTTTCCCTCCAATGATGAATGAAAGTTGTCAGATCCTCCTCAAACCCGTCGACAAAATTACCAGAAACTAATCAACTGCAAGCGAAAAACAGATCATTAAAATTTCAGCCTGCTTCGGTTTACAACTCCCAGCCTCGTGAAGATGAAAATACAAAAGGAATGCATGAAATGAAAGCCACCACACCTTAACTTCTAACAACGAAGCAATAAAAAGGAAAGCAACTGTTAACTATGACTATTACGCCTGTGATTCTTCTCGAGAGGCTTCAGACGATGAGAACACAAAACACCATAGAAGCGG